CCCTCCCTTCCTCCCTCCCTTTACTTAGCAGTAGGGCACTGGGTTCTAGTCTTAAGTTTGAGAAGCAGTACGTGGGATGATCATGATATTCACATGAGGTAGATATGATGTGGACTGGTGTCAGGAGAGATGCCTATACCTCCTAGTAGGAAAGAGACTGGGGAGAGGACCTGCCACAACCTGGAGCATCAGGACTGGCTGCTGGCTTGCTGCTGGCTCTGAGCCTCCCCTGCTCCCCCCTCCTCAGCTGGCACGGTCTGTTAGACTACATGATGCTGCCACCATCTCTCCAACCCTCGCTGCTGTGCTGTGACCCAGAGGTGGAACCGCCGGCACAGAGCGATGCTCACAGACTCTGTGAAGTGCAGCAGCAGCTTAAATATGAAGTGCTCAGTCCTTTCCTGGTACTGCCTGGGGTGGAGAGTTGAGGGCTGTGGGGACATGAATCACAAACTGTTTTAAGCACAGCTGCTGCATTTATGCTCTTAAAGCCAAAACCCTTTGGGATGTGGGGACCCCTCTGCTCGTTGAGTGAGATATAAAGCTCTGTCTGTGCTTGGCAGCTTCTTTGGTAAGTTCATACTGGGGGAGCAGTTCCTTCTGGCTTGTACAGACACTGGCTCTCACTTTGCAGCTTCACCTGCAAACAGGCACAAGTTCTGTTAAGTACAGTATTTTCTGCTTGTCTTCCTAAATAGTTGTTGTTGTGCCATTAGCCAGCTTTGCTTGGGGGCAGCTGCAAAGACATTAATCAATCCTATATCAATTTTAAGCCTGGGTAGCAGTGGAGAAGTATTGTACCAGAGTTGAAGGGGGCATCTGTGGCTTGAACTGAGATCTACATCGGGGCTTGTGAGGAGGGTGCAGCAGTGAGACCCAGTACTAACCACTCCCTTTGTTGTCTAGATCCCACTCCTTCCTCAATTCCAACTCAGCGGAGGCTGTGGCCATGGGCTTGCTGAAGCAGTTTGAGGGCATGCAGCTCCCGGCTGCCTCTGAATTGGAGTGGCTGGTCCCTGAGCATGATGCCCCGCAGAAGGTAGGGGTGTGAGTCCCCAGTCACCGATTGCATTTGACTTTCCACTGCCGAGGGGCTTTGCTAGTCCTGGTAATCCCTTTGTGGAGCTGGAGCAGGGTTTTGTCCAAGCTATGGAGATGGGTGCAGCCAAGTGGGGCTCTGCAACCGCAGCCTCCTACCGCAGAGTGTCCAGATCCCTGGGGACGTCCCTTGTCCAGCCCCATTCAGCTGGAGCAGCGACTCTGTGCCTGGCAGTTTTCCAGAGGGCTGCAGCTGCAGGTTTCTGGCAAGCCAGCCAGGTGCATTGCCTTTGCAGTACCAGGTAGGGATCTGATCCTCTTGCCTGCCTCTCCCAGCTCCTGCCCATCCCCAACTCTCTGCCCATCTCTCCTGACGATGGAGAACATGCTGATATCTACAAGCTGAGGATTCGAGTGCGTGGAAACCTGGAGTGGGCCCCACCGCGACCACAGATCATCTTCAATGTTCATCCAGCCCCAACGTAAGGACCTGTGCAGCCGAGGGCTCTCTGGGGACCTGCCCCTTTCCAACCCTTTTCCATCAACACCACGGCTGATTATCCTTTCCTTCCTGCTTGACCGCTGGGGCTTCCATGCTCTGAGCCTGGTAAATTCGTGGTGGTCACCACCAGCAGCTGGTACTGTGAGATGGAGCCAGCGCCTGTGGTCAGTGCCTTTGGTGTGCACTAGGGTACAACAGGGCTTCTCCTCTTGGATCTGTGGTCCATGTTTAAGTGGCAAAGCATGTGGCCATCTCTGTTATCCAGACCTGTGCCAGCACCCCTTCCTGTGGTGCCAGGTGCTGTCAGGGCTGGACTCATACATGTTGTCTTCTGTCTCTGGGCAGGAGGAAGGTGGCTGTGGCCAAGCAGAATTACCGGTGTGCAGGCTGTGGCATCCGGACTGATCCTGGTGAGTGCTGGGACCCTGACCCATAGCTGGAGAGTGGGGAAAAACCTGTGAACGAGTGGGAAGATGCAGAGTGGGTGGGTGGTGGCAGAGCTCAGCACGAGGTCACTGGGGCAATGATACGGTGCCTTTGTAGCTCTGCCTGCACATTGGTGTGACCACCCACAAAGGAGCCTCCTCCAGAAGGTCACGGGACTGGTGGAGGCAAAGAGTAGCTTCTAAGCTGCTCTTCTAGCTTTGACTCTTCTAAGACAAAGTAATCTGTTGGGGTCCTAATGCTCCTGGCAGGTTCTGCTGTGGGTACAGCTGCAGAGCTCTTTTACCAGCCGTCTTTGCTGAATGTGTAGGTAGATGTGGCTGCGTGAGACTGGACTCTGGTCCCAAATGCTTTTGCAGTTGGTGGGGGTGCTTGCAGATCCCAGTGTTGAGTGCTCTGGCGCTGGAGGATGTACCAGCAAGACAGACTGCCTTGCTTGTTGGAAATGCTGAGCAACGTCAGGAGTCCAGTATGTGGTTGGGCAGAGCTCGTTCCTTGGCTGACCTCTCTGTCTGCCTGGGTTTGGCCAGATTACATCAAGCGGCTGCGGTACTGTGAGTATCTGGGGAAGTATTTCTGCCAGTGCTGCCACGAGAACGCCCAGATGGTCATTCCCAGCCGCATCCTGCGCAAGTGGGACTTCAGCAAGTACTATGTGAGCAACTTCTCCAAAGACCTGCTGAGCAAGATCTGGAGTGACCCACTCTTCAACGTGCAGGATATCAATCCTGCCCTGTACCGGAAAGTGAAGTCCCTCAACCAAGTGTGGGTAAGACCCTTTCCATGCCTTCCTGAGCAGAGTTTGGGTGAGGTGGGTGGCTGCCAATTATAAACTGTATTCCAGGGAAGCTGGGGAGAAGCAGATATTTCAGGTTTTGAGGCTTAAAAACTCAGCACTGTGGGTTTCTCTTCACTTCATGTTCTTTGTCCAGCACCACAGGAATTTCAAAAGGAATTTATGCCTGGTGTCCAGCTGGGCTTCTGTTTATCTCCTGGAGCATGTGATGATGGTTGTGCTCTCTTTGCTCTGCATGGTATAAACACTTTGGTAGCGGGAGAGCAGCAGCTGAGGAGCAGCAGTTGTTTCACCAGCGCAGGGAATAGGGCAGACGTGCTTGACCAGGGACTGTGCTCTATTTACTGATTCTTGTGTCCCCTTTTCCTCTCCAGCTGCTGCGAATCCAGCTTTTCCACATGAAGAACATGTTTAAGACGTGCCGGCTAGCTAAAGAGTGAGTCCCCAGCTGTGAGATGAAGCTGTTCTGCTGCCCTGGATTTGCCCTGTGCCAGTTTTCACTGCGGATCTGTGCAGCCTGTGCAATGAGCAGTGGGAGGGTGAGGGGAGTAGAGGGGCAGAGAAAGCAGCAGCAGTGGAAAGAGAGGGCTTAGTGGAGTCACTCTGCCCTGAGTGCTGCTTTCTCTGTCCTTACAGCCTCCTAGACTCCTTTGATGCAGTGCCTGGCCACTTGACAGAGGATTTGCACCTCTACTCGCTGAACGACCTCAGCGCCACAAAGAAAGGGGACTTGGTGCCTCGCCTGACAGAGCTCCTGAAGGCAGGCAGCCTGCACGTCGAGAAGTGCATGGTAAGGCATCCTTGCCTGCCTCCTGCATGGCTCTTCACCCTTGGGAGCAGGCGACATAATTGATGGGGAGGCCTTTAACATACAGGACAGTCCACAAATTAACTGATTCAATGCTAACTGCTCCTGCCTGCTCCACAGAGCTTCCACCCAGCATGTATGAGATGTTTATTATCCCGTTTTGGTTCTCCCCAACCTCTGACACATGTTGATTCTGCCTTGCTGTGTTCCATGCTGGGGAAGAGCTGTCCCACATGGTTAGGGCAGGGCACCATGTCCTGCTGTCCCCCTTCCACTCTACTTCCTGCCCTGCTTGCCTGGGAGATGAGGAGCATTTAGATGCTTTTTCCTCACCTTTTCTCCTTCCAGCTGTGCCAAGCCAAAGGCTTCATCTGCGAGTTCTGCCAGAATGAGGGTGACATCATCTTCCCCTTTGAGCTCAATAAGTGCAGGATATGTGAAGGTAAGATGCTGGGGAGAAACAGGGAGTGGACAGAATATACGGTCACCAAGGTCTGTGTCCAGTTTGAGTGACATTTGTACTAGCAAGAGGTACAGAGACAGACAGACAAACCAGTGTGCCTTTCTGCACCACACTGCCACAGCAGCAGAGCAGCATTTAGCCAGAGCTGCTGGTGTGCTGGAGCATGTAGGTCACTTCCAGACCATGCTGTGTGCTGCCTGCCTCGGTAGCAGTGGGCAGTCGGGTTGTGACTGCAGTGAGTGGGTGTCTGAGAGCCCTGGCTTCACTTCTGCTGTGGTTATTGGACAGGCTGCAGCCTGCACACAGCTTTCCTGCCCCTGCTTGGATGGCTGGAGCTGACCTTGTAGAGCAGAGAGAGCCTAAAGACTGTCTCTGTGCCCTTCCTGCCTGCCAAGAAATCCCAAGGCCTCTTCAGGAGTCATCCTCGATAATACCCAGTACTAGTGGCCAAGCAGAGCTTGGTCCTGCAGCTTGGGACCAACTGCCTTGGTTTGGCAGGAGCAGTGCCAGAGAAAACTTGGGGCAGTCACTGTTTCCCTGGAGAATCAGGAAAGTTTGGGGAGGGACCTTGTGCAGAGCAGGAACCCTCCCACCTGTGCTCCCAAAGGTTTTGCAAGCTGGTTCAGGGACCCTGCAGCATGACTTCTTGCTGCTTCCAGAACGGTGCTAGGCCCTTGCTTCTGGTGCTTGTTCTGCCACAGCTTTGGTTTGAAATGTCCTCCTGGAAAAGCCTGGTGGAGCATCCCTCCTCAGGGTGTGGAGCATCAGGCAGTCTGTGTCAGTCCCTGCCAGCTCTCAGCCATGCTTTCCTCTGCAGAGTGCAAAGCCTGCTACCACAAATCCTGCTTCAAATCCACCCGCTGTCCCCGCTGCGAGCGGCTTCAAGCCAGGAGAGAGCTGCTGGCCAGGCAGAGCATGGAGTCCTATGTCTTGGACTATGAAGATGAGCTGGAGCAGCCGGAGACGGTGGCAGCCACATGAGCATGTTGCAGTGGAGGAGCAGATTGTGGGTTTATTTACGTGCGTGTGGCCTTCATCACCAGAGACTGAGCCCCGCGGACTGGAGATGAGGAGGACTGTCAGGAGGCCTGGAGCACTCTCTCAGAGGGATCTGTTTTCCCCTGTGCAGTAGTTCTGGGCTGGGGAAGGGGCATCTTCCATTGTCTGAGTTTGCTCCAGGTACTGCTTGCACTCCCTGATGCCTTTGCTTGGGGAAAGGCGGCTGCTGCTGCCTGTCCTGCAGGCAGAACAGGGGCCTTTTCCAAGCAGTTGTTCGTGCTGGACCAGGCAGGGCTGTGCTGCCAGTCCCCGTGCCCTGCTCCTGGCAGGATCCCCTCCGGGGTCAGCACTTGCTGCTCATCAGCTGTATACTAGGAAGCTCTGGCCATGTCCTGCTCCTTGGAGATGGAAATCAGCTCTCTGAGTCCTCCGATCCCCTGTCCTGCTGCTGGGGGTTGTGTGCATGGAGGGAGGGTGGGAGTTTGGGGTTGGTTGTACAGTTAACAACTCCCTTTCTCAAATCTGGCTTGGGACACTGCTGGAGAGCAGTTGCTCTCATTCTGGGATAAGAGCAGAGGAGGTGGCAGTGGTGAAAATGCCAGGTTTCTGCCTCGCCTCCTGTTCCATCTGTGCTGAACTGCTTTTCTTACCCTCTGCCTGCACCCTGACTTTTGGCTGAGGCAGATCCCCATGGCCGGAGGATGCACTAAGTGAGACTTCCAACCCTGCTTCCTCATGCTGCTGGTCTGTCATCCTAGGGGAGAACACGTCCTCTAAGGGTGCAGCTGCCTTCTGCCTGAGGCCTGTCAGGATGTGGGTGAAGGCTCAGCCCTCCGGCTGCATCCCTTGAGCCTCTGTGTAGGTTTGTTCTTTTAGGTTGGGTTTTTGTTTTTTAATCTGCTGCATTTGGTTTTATTTTTTTAATGCTGTTGCTTGTATTTTTAACTGTGTGTTCCCCCCCCAAGGAGGTCTTGCTGGAAATGTCTCTTTAGGGGACATGCGATCTGCTTGGGACTCACTGGTATAAAATCTCCAGCGCTGTCCTGCTCCCGGTCCCTCACCCCTGGATGGGGCTGGTGTTTGCCAGGTGTCCCCTCCTCCGGCAGATCTCCTGCTCCCCTTGGGAGAGGGGTCCCTGAGCCAGGCAAAGCCTCTTTCCAGCTGCGGTGCAGCAGAGTGGCCAGGCAGCCTGTGGGGAGGTGCGTGGGGGGAGAGGGGTTTGGCACTGGGATGTTGCAAAGGGTTGGACCCTTGCCGATGCAGAGCTGCCTGCCATGATCAACGTCTCCGCAGGATTGGACCCACCGGTCCAAGGTGAGCTCTGAGCTCCGGGACTAGCGGCCAGGCAAGGAGCTGCCTCTGCACCGCAGGGGAGTGCTTTAGCCCACGGCATGGGGGAGTGTCCAGCACTCACAGGGGTGGAATGGGGGGTGGCAGGGGGGTGTTTGGAAGGACACTGTGGCCTGTGTACGTGCAAGAAGGGTGTTGAGGGACTGGGGAGTGATACACTGGCAGAAGGCATCGAGGGACAATGGCTCTTGCAGCATGGACCCTGGCTTGAGGCTGGGCAGTGGCACTCGAGGGCTGTCCCCTGCAAGGGTGGCAGGGTTGGGGCGAGGGGAGAGGCTGCGACCAGGAGAGGTGGCCACAGGGCTTGGTCAGAGAGGATGGCACAAGCCTCACTACTGGGGGCCAGGCTGCTGCATGGCAGCATCTCTCCCCCTGCTCTGCAGCATCCTGGCAAAGCCAGGATCTAGCCCAGGAAAGGGGATTCAGCTCCCCACTCCCTTCCCCTGGAGTTTTTGCCTCCTCCTGTCTTGATTCTGCTTGTTTTCCTCAGGGGAACAGCTTCTTTCCTCCTCAATTTCCATTTCTGCAAGCCCTGGGGCTACCAGATGCTGGTTTGCCTTGGTCTTGCCTGTCCCCAAGCCCATCCCTCCTGCGGCTGCCTGGAACTGGCACCCCCTTCTCTGGAGCTGCCTCAGCAGCACACCTCCATCCACCCTTTTTTGTTTGAAGCACTTTAATGTCCTGGGACAGCAGCGAGAGGCTGCCCACGTCCCTTTCTAGAAGCACTGAGTACATTTAGAGAAGAGGGAAAGGATTTTTGCTTATTTGTGGTTTCTACCCTCCACCATGGACTTTGGAAGCAGCGGGACTTGTAAACCCAGCGGAGGTCTCCAGGGCAGGGTTGTGCCCGGCACTGACGCTGCTGCCCAGTGCTAGGAGTAACACTGGAACTGGCCAAGGCAGTGAGCTGTGTAAGGGAGAGCAAGGGGCTGCCCTGGCTGCCAGCTGGAGCCCTCTGTGTGGGACTATTGCACAGCACAACAACAAAAATGCCGTCCCTAATAAACTAAGTTAATAAGGGGCCTAGCTGCGTTTTGGCATCATTTCAGGTGGGGTAACAGTGTGTATCCCCCACCTTGGGGTCAGTGCTGCCGTGCCTGTTGGCCGTGGGGCAGGGAGGGAGCAGGGTACACAGGCTAGTGGCAGGGGCCAGAAGTTGTGCAACTATTGGTGCATCACCAGGTGTCACTGGGAGGGGGTTATTGTCACTGCCCCTTGGCTAAACCCATCTGGTTTGTGGCTTCCCCCTGCAAACTGCCCACTGGGCTTGGGGCAGGAGGTACAAAGCCACCGAGCAAGGGGCTCTGTGACGCCTGTCCCCTTCCTGAGCCTGCCTTGGCCACTGGCAGAGTGGCCCAGGGGCAGGGCCTTGGCTGCCCCATCCCTACGTGCATCCCTGACCCACGCAGCCCAGCCCTCCCCTCACAGCAGTGTTGTGCATTGCCCCATAAACATCAGACACAGGAGATACAAACTGTAAACTTTAAAACAACTGTTGAAAGATGCGTGTGCAAGCTCAGCACAGCGCTGGCTCTGCGTGGAGCGAAGCAGGGCACAGCATGAGAAGCCAGTTTCTGGGGGCTTTTTCCCAAAAAAGCCCTGCTCAGCATAAATCTAAGCTGTGGTTACCAGCAGCAGCAGTGACTTGGGCTTGCTGCTGAGCACAGTGGTTGTAGAAGAGGTTTCTGGCAGGCATGGGCACGCTGTGGATGGGCTCTGGCAGCTGCCAGCAAACCCCTGGCAGCAGGAGGGCCCTGCACAGACCTGCGGGGCTCTGGCAGCTGCCTCGGCACAGCACCTCAAGCAGAGGGTGATGGCACAAAGAGACCTCCAAAACCCTGGGGCTTGCTGCCATTACAGTGAGCCCTCCCAACAGCAAGCACTAGGGTGATCCTGGCCGGGGTGTAAGGTGCGAGCTGGCGCCTTGGCAAAGGCTCATCTGCCCACAGCATAGAGGGGCACGAGCAATCTCAAGGCATGCTGTGCCTGTCACTGGGAGGGCGTGTGGGGCGCATAACGACGCTCAAACTGGCCCACATCGAACTTGCGCTTGCAGCCGGCGTAGTTCATGTAGCGGATCTTCCCGAAGATGGCCCGCTCTGCCCAGCCCTGGTCGTGTATGCCGCAGATGGACCAGAGGCAGCCTGCCAGGTGTGGAGATGGAGCGTCAGCTCTCCCCCTTGCTCAGAGGCAACCAGAGAGCAAGTGGGATGTGGGTGCAAAGCAGGATGGGTGGGAGCATGCACCGGATTGTCTGCAGAAAGCACCCCCTTCCCCTGCACAGCCTTGGCCATCATAAGACACCATCCTGTTCCCCCGTCCTGTAACTTGCCTACGTATCCATTGGGGTCCCTCCCATCCAGCTCGTAGCGGTCATTGAGGTAGATGGCGAACTGCAGGGCCTCCTCAGGAGAGCGGGTCCACTCCAGGATCTTCTTGGCCCAGTACATCCGTAGGAAGCCGTGCATCTTGCCCTCCCGGACCATTTGGAGCTGGGGGGAAAGGGACAGCCACAGGGGTCAGTCCGTGCCAGCTCACCTCTGCCCCTCAGGAAAAGGCTCAGCATTTTGCAGGTGAGATGCAGGATACTACCTGGGCAGCATTCCAGAGTGGGTCATGTGTGGCCCCCTGCTCCAGCTCCTGCAGCTTGTAGAGAAAAGGCCTCTTGTCTTTGGCATGGAGCTTCAGGGTGGTTTGTGCCCAGTCGTAGGCACCTGTGAGCAAGAGAGATGAGGAGCAATGCTGAGCAACTCGCTCCTGCAGGGCCCCGAGGAAAGGAGGAAGAGTTGGGCTTCTGAGGGTAGTGCCCTGGTGGCACCAGCCTTGAAGAGGGCATCTGCAGCTCCTGTCCTACCTCCAGAAGGTACCAAATGGTGGCACATTAGTGTCCCCACAGCCTCTCTCCTAGCAGAAATGGGATTGCCAAGTGGGGGTGACCAGTTGGGTACCAGCCCAGCCCCCAGTGTTGCTCACCCGACCCTGGGTGTTACCTTGCACGCTGTCATAGTTCTCATTGTAATAGCAAAAGTTTTCAGCCAGCTCCCGCCGCACCACGGCCTCCTCTATGAATGCATCCACTGACTCCTTGTACTTGCCCCGGTGCTTCTGCACCTCCAGGATGGCTCGTTGGGTGGAAACCTGGCCTGGGGATATGGGGAGGGAGCAACTCAGGCTGCTGGTCCAAGCCACTGTGCTCAGTCCTGCTGCAGAGTGGGAAGCCTGGGACACTCACCAAAGTGGAACCATGGGGACAAGTTGCTGAGCGCTGCCTTGTTGGGATCATTCCGGTGGGAGCCAAAGGATTTCAGCCGCTCCGCAATGAAGGACTGCAGCACAGACAGCCCTGTAGCCGTGCCCGGGGTTGCCCACTCCACCTCCTTCACGGTGCGGTCCACCTGCAAGCTGGAATAACAAGCCTCCCAAGCAATGGGCTGGGCGGCAACCAAGAAGCATGAGTGCATTTGCAGACGCTCTTCAGCCAGAGCTGTCCCCAAGCAGCAAGTCCCCAGCTCATGCCAGCTTTCTCCTCTTAACCAGCCTTGCATGGCAGAGATGTAGGAATTGAATGAAAGAGGTAGGAACCTCCCATCCCCAGGGTATCCCCACCTCCACACCACCTGTGCATGACCTCAGGCAGGTCACTGTCCCTGTCCCCTGCCATCCCCTCCCAGAATCACCAAGAGGCTGTGAAACCCTCTGGGACTGGTTATGACTGGGTATGGAGGTGTCTCCTGCTGGTACCTCTGCTGGGCAGGAGGGGGGATATGGGTGACGAATGACGGGGGGGAACTCTGTGAGGAACTCTGGGAGCTGAGCATGGATCTTGCCCCGGATGGTCCTGGCACTGTATTCCTGCTTGGGGGAGGCAACCCAGCAGGGCACGATGTTGTGGGCATCAACCTGGGAAGAAAATTCGTGGAGGAAAGTGTGAGTAGGAGAAACAAATGGTCCCTGCTCTGGTCACTCCAGCACACCTCCGCAGGTGCAAAATACAGGAGACAAGTTTCTCCCATATCTGACCAGCCAGAGTTTTCCCCTCCCACAGCCTGGGCACCCACCTGCGCAAAGGGCACATCATCTGGCAACCGCTCCCTGACGTCCTCCACCCACTGCCGGGGGAGGCGGAGGGGGCAGAAGTCTGTCACCAGCCCACCCACACCATGCTCCACCACGAATGTGGGCAGCACGTCCTTGGCATAGCCCAGCAGCAAGTGGAAGGGGATGTTCAGCTCTGAGCACTCCTGCAGCGAGGGGGGAGAGGGCTATGGGATGGTTCATGCTTCTGCAGTCCCCATCCCACCACCATCCACTGAAGGAATGGATCTGCCTCCCCCCCTTCCCCAGGAGCCCTGTCCCACCCAGAGAGGACATCCCTGGGGTGGCTGTACCTCAGCCACCTCCTGCAGGCCCCTCAGCATGAAATCATAGTGGCGGATGGTGGCATCCAGGAATTTGGGCACCAAGCAGAAGCAGATGTGCAGAGGCAGCTCCTGCTTGAGGGCCAGGCGCTGGGCGTAGAGGAAAGCCCAGTTATCTGGGAAGAAAGCACACGGGGCAGTGCCGAGGGGATGATGAGGGGATGGATATAGGGGTTTGCAAGAGGAATCCCCCCAGTCTCCCCTGCAGAGGGGGGATAAGCTCCAAGGCCTACTGTGGGAAAGGACCATGGGTTTGCCACTCATGGGACCTCCCCTTCCCGGCCCCCTCCACCACCTGGTTCGCACCTTGCACCCGCTGGTCCCGGGACATCCAGTAAAGGATGCACCGAGCATCATCCTTCAGGTCCGAGCCCTGCGAGACGAGACGAACCCGCTTTTTGTTGTATTTGAACTCTCGCACGGACGGGGCCGCCCTCCGCCGGGCCTCCCGCATCTCCTCCTCTTCCTCCTTCCTCCTCTGAGACACGCGTGGCAGCTCCGGGGCGTCGGCCTTTCGTTTCCCTTGTCCCCGCCGCATTTTTAGCACTACCCGGAGCAGCGTGGTTGCGTGGGACCGCTGCGAGGGGAAACGGACCCGCACTGAGCTCCCGCGGCTTTGCCCATCCCTGTCCCCGCTCCTCCCCCAGAGCCCGGGGAATGCTGGTACCCTGCCCATCCTGGTTCCCGGTCCGCTCCCGGTGCCCGGGGATCCCCGTGCCCTGCCCATACCGGTCCCTAATCCACTCCCGGGGTTCCTGGTCGGGATTCCCGGTCCCGGTTCCCGGTTCTCAGTCCCTACCTGGCAGCCACGCGGCTCTCCGGGTGTTACACAAGCCGGGGGCGTGGTTTGGGTTTTTTTTTTGTTGTTGTTGGTAGTGTGGTGGGGGTTTTTTTGTGGGGGGGCGTGTTTATGGGTGTGTCTTTGTGGAAAGGGGCGTGACATCCTCCTGGTACCCCCCCTGCGGCGTACAGGGGCCGGTGCTGCGCCGACGTCCCCGGCGCGCCCGTGGGCGCGCCGGGGACATCGGCGCAGCATCGGCCCCCGGGAAGGGGGGCAGTGCCCGTCGGTGCCTCCTCTCCCTGCCCCCGGGAAGGAGGAAGCGTCTCCAGGCACTTTCAGTCATCACTCGGCTGCGTGGTTCCCCGCTGGCACCATCCCCACGCGGGGTGTAGGGGTACTGGCTCTGGATATGGCTGGGCAGAGAAGAGGGATGTCCCTGCCCTTGCTGTTGAGTTTTGCGGTGCTGGATGTCACGCTGGGTAAGGGCTGAGAGGGATGGGGTGCTAGTCGTGGGGGGGTAGAGGGGGAGAAGTGGGGAGCATTGCTCCCCAGGGTGTGTGGGGGGGTGGCTTCAGCCACAGAGGTGCTGTTTGCTCTCCGACAATCTCAGCCCCGTCCCAGTGAGCAGACAGGGCTGTGCTTTGCAACACAGGAGCGACAAGCTTGGCTTTATTTCTTTTGCCTTTCATCTGTGTCTCTGTCCGGGCAGAGAAGACCTTGGTCCCAGTTGGACCCCCTTGCTGAACCTCGGTCCCTGCTGGACCCATTGCCTTTGCAATGATCTGCCCAGCAGCACCAAAGGGCCCTGCCTGGATGGCAGCATCACCAGGATGTCATAGGCCTAGAAAACTCCAAATGCTGTCCCGATGTTTGCACTTGACTCAAAGCAAGAGCAGTGTTGAGTTGAGCCCAGGGAATAAATCTGAGGCTTGTACCTCCTGCAAGCCTCGAGCTACAGCCATAGGTCTCCTCCTCCTGCATCTTTCAACCCCCCTCAGAGCTTTTGTGGGTTGCTGCACATCTCTAAGGACTCTGAGCTGCAAGCTGGGATTTGTTCCTCTATGGCCCCCCTCCGTGGGGCTGCTTCCCCATTTGCCATTATTTACACCTGGCGCTATCAGTTCCTGACTCTCTGCATCAGGGAGGTTTGTGTAAACTGCTGCTGCTGCAGTTCCAGCCTGTCTCACGGTCACCAGTTCAATCTCACGGTCACCAGTTCCTGCAGGGCTCTTCCCGTCGGGCGGGTTTGTCTGACTTCCTCCAGGGATGGGTGAAGGTGGTAGAACAGGTCTTAGTGCTGGTGCCTACAGGAGTTTCTGCCCCGAGATCAACTACGCCCATGGCTTGTTCCTGCTTTGTCAGCCTGGGGGATTTACAAGGCCTGCCTTGCTGATCTCGTTGCTGTTCAGGGCATCCACATGCTTGATTCATGCAGGATGGTGAATCCCCACTCCTGACGATCCATGGCTGATGAGTAGCTTGGGGAGCTTGTGGTAGCTCGGGGAGTTCATGGTGGTGGTGATGCTGTGCTGTCCCCGGCACAGCCTTTGATGCCCAGCCCTTGCGCACCTCATTCTCCCACCTCTTTGCAGGGACCACCACCACAGATGTGACAGTTACCAGGTCCCCGACTTTCCCTACTTCCTCAACACCCAGAAAGACCATGACACTGCTGCCCACCAGCACAACCCCTCTCCCTCCCTCCAGCCCTGAAACCTCCACCCCAGAGGTACTGTCAGACGCCTTCACTGCCAGTGCTGCAACGCCTCAGGGCAGCAGCCCGGCAGCCTCCAGCATTCCTGCACCACAGGCAAGGGGCAGCACAGCCCACAGCACTCCTGGGTTGCCTGTCGACACCACGGTGCACCCTGACCCCCCCTCAGAAGTGCTGGGACTCACCAGTGGCACCCCAGATCCAACCCTCATGGCCACAACGCCCAACTGTGATGAGCCGACCATCATTACGTCTGTGGGGAACAGCACGGCCCTGGCTGTCAGCTCGTTTGGAGTCAAGACGAGCACGCTGCCTCCCCCCACCTCTACTCTTCTCCCCTCCACCTGGGTAGGCACCACACTTGGCACCAGCACCCACCAAGGGCCAGCTATGACCACACCGCTAGGCAGCACATCCCCAGGGACCGGCAGTGCCTCTTCTCCCATTGCACCAGCACCGACAGCTGCTTCAGATGAGCCCTTGACAACATCGGACACCATGGCCACCCCCATTAGCAGCACGGGGATCCCCAGGAGCACCCCCATCCCCAGCCAGCTGGCTGGGACCACTCCCCCGACAACACCTGAGACCCCCGGTGCCACCGCGGGTGAGTTCAGCCACGGGGTCCCTGGGGGACAGGGGCAGGGTGACAAACTCCCATGGGATCTCCTGTCCTGCTCCCACCAGGTGCCAGGCTACTTCGCCTGGGGGTGGCCACCCCATGTCCAGGCTCTGCAGGCCGGCGGGTGGGCCCCACGCTGCTCCCCGTGCCCTGGCCAGGCTGCCAGCTCCCTCACACCCCACACTGCCGAGCGGGGCTGCTGGGCTGGCGGTCCTGCTGTACGACTGTACCCCAGCGGTGTGACTGTACCCAGGCTGTGTGGCTGTGCCCCCAGGAGTGTGACTGTACCCCAGCAGTCCCCCCAGACAGCTGTACCCTGGCAGTGCCCCTTCCTGGGCAGCTGTGTCCCAGCAATGTGACTGTAACTTGGTGGCTTTCTCAGGAACCTTTACCCTGGGACTGCAGCTGTATCCTGGAGACACCCTGCTCCGTGCACCTGAACCTGGCAGGGAGACTGTACCCTGCCCCAGTGCCTCTGGCTGTGCATGTGCCCCCAGTGTCTCTGTACCCCAGTAGAGCGACTGTATCCTGACAGAGTACCTGTACCCTGGCCTAATGCCTACGGTGTGAGAGCATCCCAGCAGAATGCCTGTACCCCAGTAGTGCCCTCTGCGCCTGTACCCTGGCAGTGCCCCGCACATACAGCAGCAGGGTGACTGTGCCCTGGCAGTTTTGGTGTGATTGTCTGCCTGCGGAGCGCCTGTACCTTGGCCCAGTGCCTGCAGGCGCCTCCGACTGGTCCTGTCCCTGACCCTGACAAGAAGGAAGCAGCTCCGACTGTCAGTGGTGCATTTCAGCCGTGACATGCTGTGACATGGGGAAGTGATGCCTGTACAGACAGCCCAGAGGACAAACCCTCAGCCTGGAGCACGCCCTTCCTGAGCGCTCCCTGTTCTCTCGGCCAGTTCCTCGCGCTGAGACAGAGCCGGCTGTTGTCTCTCAAGGGCGTTGGAGCTGGGAGCCACCACTGAACATCACCCCTGTGGTGAAGCACAGGGACGGTCCCAGGCAGTCCAGCTGCTTCCCTGGGCTTTTTTCCATTGTCATCGTTCCCTCCGCAGGCAGAGGACAGCACGGTCCCCAGCTGCAGGGACCTGGTCTGCTGCAGTGGTGGCCCTGCTAGCCTGCCCTGCCTGCGGCTCCTGGCTGCTCCGGGTCCAGCCGTGCAGCTGATGTCTGCTCAGCATTGCACCCATCCCTGGGAGTGTCTGTGTCAGGCGGAACCCCCCACTTCACTGCCAACACCTGGGGAGTAAAAGGACCCACCTGGATTGTCCTTCTCTGCTGGTCAAAGGAGACCCAGATACCCCAGTTGCCAGGGCTATGAGGAGCTCTCGGAGTGGTGCCTGCAGGGGGGCATCAGCTTCTGCTTGCTTGGACATGGTCTGGCAGAGAGGGGGGCTGCCCCTGCTGCTGCTGAGCCTCACCATGCTGCGCCTCACGCTGGGTAAGGGCTGAGCGGGATGGGGTGCTCTCCGTGGGGTGGGTGGTGAGGGGGGCGTGTCATTCCCCAGGGTGGGGGGTACTTTGCTTGCAGCAGGTTCCCGTGGGGTGCGGTGGGTGAAACACTGTGGGTGCTGTTTGCTGTTTGCTAAATGAAAAGCAGAGGTGGATTTACAGCTCCTCCTCTGTGTGAGGATGAGGCCCTTCAGCGCAGACACCCACCCCAGCATGGGCTGGGGCCAGACCTTTGCCCTTCTCTGCATTATTATTTAACCAGCTGCTGCCTTCACCAGCTCAGGGAGGGAGCGGCTGCTGGGAGGCTGTGGGAGTTTCTGGTGAGGTTGGCTGAAAGCAGCCAGCAGCTTGTGCCTTGATTCCCCATTCCCATGTGAGGAGAGCCCCAGACTCACTGGGTTTGTGCTGGGATCACTGGGGAATCCAGCCTGGCATCTCAAAGCCACCACCTCACAAGCACCTTTGACAGAGGCCTGGGCAGCCAGGCTCTTTTATGCATCTTTTGGGGAGGGTTACAGATGCCTGGGCTTCCCCAGGGGCAGTGCACTGCCCTGGCATGGGATCCGTGTGAGCAGAGAGCACAGCCCTCCTGCATCCTTCCACCCTTCCCCCCCAGAGCTTTCATGGGTCACAGCACGTCTCTAACAACTCGCCCAGTGTGCAAGCTGGGATTTGTTCCTCTATGGCCCCCCTCCGTGGGGCTGCTTCCCCCGTTGCCATTATTTACATCCAGTGCTATCAGTTCCTGACTCTCTGCATCAGGGAGGTTTGTGTAAACTGCTGCTGCTGCAGTTCCAGCCTGTCTCACGGTCACCAGTTCCTGCAGGGCTCTTCCCGTCGGGCGGGTTTGTCTGACTTCCTCCAGGGATGGGTGAAGGTGGTGGAACGGGTCTTAGTGCTGGTGCCTACAGGAGTTTCTGCCCCGAGATCAACTATACCCATGGCTTGTTCCTGCTTTGTCAGCCTGGGGGATTTATGTGGCCTGCCTTACTGGTGTCCATTCAGGGCATTCACATGCTTGATCCATGCAGGACAGTGAATCCCCACTCCTAGTGCTCCATGGTTGATGTGTAGCCCTGTGTCCCTCGGGGAGTTTGTGGTGGTTGTGATGCTGCACCATCCCCAGCACAGCCATAGTCTCAGCCTTTGACAGCCAGCCCTTTCACACCTCATTCTCCAATCTCTTTGCAGGGACCACCGCCACAGATGTGACAGCAACCATGTCCTCGACCTTCCCTACCTCCCTGATGCCTATGGAGACCTCAGCGCTGCTGCCCACCACCAACTCCACCACCACAGGCACCCTCCCTCCCTCCAGCCCTGAAACGGGAGCCTCCACCCTGGAGAGGTCCAGCACATCCTCGGGGATCAGCAGCACCTCACCTCCCTCTGCAGCAGCATCGACAGCCGCTTCGGCTGAGTCCTTGACAACCCTGGCAGACACCCCAGACACCCCTGTTATCAGCACGGGAGTCCCTGGGAGCAGCCCCGCTCCCAGCCAGTCAGCCAGGACCACGTCTAGAATCACCCCTGGCATGTCCACCATGACCATGGGGCTGACACCAAGCACCCCGACAATATCTGGGACTGACAGCACCCCTGCAGACCTGCCAACGATGCTGCCTGTCTGCCCCACCTCCATGCCCAACACCAGTAAGTGCAGTGCCCTGTGGGCATTGCCACTGCCCCAGCACCAGTGGCTTTGGGCTTAGAGGGGCCAATGCAGAGGGTCCTGGAGCCCCACTGCTTTTGCCGTGGTCTCAGTACAGGGCCATTGATGCTTTGTAGGACATGTGGTTTGCTGTACTGGTGGAGGGTTGTTCTTCTGACAGTGTAGGGTGTCCACAACATGAGTAACATGGGAGGAGGCCCCGTGTCTGTGCCAGCAATCCTGGGGAGAGACCCCTGGATCCAGGGTTCAAGGATCCAAAGCACACAGCCCAGGGTTCAAGGGCAATAACCTCAGCCACATTTTTTTGTCCCTAGGTGCATCTTACCTCTTCCTGTCGCTGCGGCTAACAGTCTCCCTGGACCTGGGGAACGCCACGGTGAAGGAGCTGCTGTTGTCCCAGGTGAAGTATGCCAGGAGGGGGTGCCACTTTGCACCTGGCAGCCATGGTCCAGCCAGCTGGGGAGGGGTCCGGTAGTCAGCAGGAGGGGAACAGCTGGATCTTGCATTGAATGTCACCCAGAGCCTTTTCAGATGAAGGGGAGACCCTCCTTTGGCTACTGTGGTCCAGGATCAGGCCCCTGCTAGGTGGGGAGTGGTGGGTAGGAGACCCTCTCTGACACGATTTGATGACTGTTCTCTCCCCACAGCTCCGCAGGTACCTGCAGACGGCGTTCCCGTGCGCTGGCCTGGAGGTGGGGTGGCGAGGGCACAGGAGTACCTGACAGCTGCTCCTCGCCTGGCCAGCACCCGCATGGACTTCCATTCCCTTCCGCTCCCAGCTCCTTACTCCATGGAAGTGCAGCCTGTTGGGGTAACCTGTACAGCTCTCCTTGAACCTGGGGCTCCCCGTCCTTAACTGTGCACCCTTAGATGATCCCCAGTGCCCTCCGTGGGCTGGGGTGCCCTTGCCCCTTCCCACAGCCTGTCTGTAGAGCCTGAGTCATCCCACCATCCTACACCAGACCTAGCTCCCACAGTGGGACCCCCCCCAGTGCTGCTGGGGGGCTGGGAGGAGGGGACCCTGAAAGGACTGGGCCACAAAAGCCACCCTGGGGACTGATGGATGAGAGAAAGGAGACCTGGAGCCCCCAGTAATGTTGTGCCCAGGACACTCCGTGTCAGCGCTGGTGACAGCTGAAGTTTGCAACCCAGGGAGGCTGCAGTGCCCAAGGTCTTCAAGAGATGCTCCATGGCTGCTTCACCTCCAGAGTGGGCCAAGATGGAGCCTGGGGTGGCTCTGGTTAGGAGCAGGAGAGGAAAAGAGCTCCCCTCTCCTGCCTGAGCCCCATCCCAGGCTGAGCTCCTGAGCCCTGCAGCGCAGAGGGCGAGTGAAGACAGAGCCCTGCACACCAGCTCTCCCCGGCTCACCTGCAGTATTGCTGACAGAGGAGCACATTCCTGCCAACATGGGCTGGGCAGCAGAGGGAAATCCCACATTTTCCGTGGCAAAGATGACTTCTTTTTTCTCCTAGTTGCCTTCCTCAAATTTCAGCTTCACCATTTAGCAGAGGTACTGGCAAGGGAAACCACATGAATCCCAAAAGCTTCACAACAGAGAGATGTGTTTAGGGCTGTCCCCTCTTGGCAGGAGCCACTGCAGAAGTTCCCAAGGACGGCTTGGCACCCTGACAGGCTGGGGGTCCCCACTTTGGTGCTCTCTGCCCATGACACCCCATAACTGCCAGGGCAGCTGTGCACACCATGGGGCCGTGGAAATCCCGTGGGCTGTGCTCCTTCCCTGTGTTTTTCCAGTCCCCAGCTAAGGAGACGGCCACAGCGTCTGTCCCCCTGAAGCAAAGTCATTTATTAACTGATTAATTAGCCAGATAAAATTCAACCGAAGCAATTATTAGCCTAAACAAGTCACCTCGCCGGGAGATTGAAAACTGAAATAATTAGCAAAATAGCTGTGTTGTTCTTCAGGGGTTATTTTCGGCTGATTGCTTGCTGCTCCTTGCTGGCAGCCTGCGCCATGCCAGCACAGGGAGGGCTGGGAGGGGGCACATGGAGCTGTGGGATGGCAAACCTGGGGATGGCTCCCAAGTTCTGTGAGTTATCACAGAGCTGGGAAAAAGCCAGCAACCGGACAGGATGGGGAAAGACACTCTGGGATCACCCAGCTGCCTGCCAGCTTGCTGGGGCTGGGAGAGGCTGGGCTGAGGCTGGAGGCTGAGCCCAGGCAGCGCATCAGGATGCTCCCATTTGGGATGCCCCTTGCACCCCAGGGTTGCCTCTTTGCTCTCAAGGATGCTGCCTGGCTTTTGGGGGCTTGTTGGAGCCATAGGCACTGAGAGAGATCCCTTATCACCTAGGCAGGGAGCTGGGGAATGGGGCAAAGCCTGCTGGTATGAGTCCCCATGCCGGATGCCTGATGGGGTGCTGGGAAAGAAATCCTCATGCTCTGCCTACGCTGTGGAGCTGGGCCAAGAGTCCTCCCACGCCACATCCCACTGGGCTGCTTTTTGCAGCTGTTGAATCCATAACTTCAGACCCTGGGACATGGCCAGGGGCCAAGGCTGGGGTAATGGAGCCAAACTGCGTCACAAAAGGAGGAAAAGGTCCTGAAGTGCTGGGATGAAAAGGTGACCGGGGCACTCGCTGTTCCCTGCTGACACGGCTGCCTTCCACCACTACTGTGATTGGGGGCTGGTGGGGGGAGGAGATACTCCAGTGCCACTAAGCCCCTCTTGCCCCCCAGCCTGGGTGGGAGAAGAACGGGACGTGGCTGCTATGGGGGTGCTGGGCACTGCCAGGGTGTTAGGGACACAGCGCTCTGACAAGCTCCTGACACTGCCCATGGTTCTGTGCCTGCCACCCTTGAGGATGTTGGCCACCACCTTCACCCCATGGCTGTTTGACTGTCACAGACCCCTGACCAGAGGGGCCCTGGGAGGTCAGATCTGGGTCCCACTGCTCTTCAAGTCCGTGAGTAATTTCTCAGCCTCTTCGCTAGTAGCCTGCCCCCATCTATCAGCGTTGTCCAAAGGAGCAGACCCTGCACCCAGAAGAACTGTCACCTTCAGAGGGCCCAGTAGCATCACGGGGCATGTGTCTCAAGGCCCTTGTGACTCAGGTGTCCCTTCCAGTGTCCCCCTCCCCTTCAGCCCCGCTGGTGGCTATAGCCCAGCTCACACTGCCCAGCAGGAGGGTGTTGCAACACGCCTGGCTTGCCAAGTCATCCAGAACCTGCAGGGTTGATGGATAACCCAGTTCTCACCACCACCACCACCCCCTGAGCCCTCTCCAAATGCCCTTGCCAGGAGGCCGGAGTGGTGCCAGTGGGAGATGCTGGGATCTCCGCAGGGCTGGAACAACCAGCCCATTAATTCCAGGAAGGCTGATAAGGCACCGTGCTGTGCCATACCCTGCCGTGCCAGATGGTGCAGAGACCCTGAGTGCTGGGATTCATGGCATTGCCCCCCCAGCTGTGGGCTCCTTAGGGGCTCTGGTGCCCATACGATGCTTTGGTCCTTGACAACCGTGGATGCCCTTGCAGGAGCATGTGGCTTGCAGGACCTTGGTTTCAGGCATAGCAGAAGGATCAATGAGAACTCCCTTCCCAGAGTGGGAACAGGGCACCATCCTTAAGATGAGGGATGATCCATGGTGGCTGCAAGCTTTCCTGGGAGACGGTGCCAATGCCAGAGCAGTGGAGCGAGCTCAGATTGTCACCCCCATGACTCTGCTGGAGGAGGAGCAGGGAGTTGGGGCTTTTTGGGGAGAGTATGGGCAGGAGGAGCAGGCATGAGGGTCTGCTGCTGCTGCTGGTCCCAGTGCACCATGGGCAGGAGATTGCAGGCAGGCTGAGGGTTAGGTGGGCTGGAAGAGAGAGACTTGCTTCATCTGAGTTATTTTTGTTTGTGCTAAGCAGCACGTTTGCAACAATCCCTGTGGTTCCCATCATGTTTTGCACCTCAAACACCAGCTGGAGCAACTGTCTCCAGCGTCAGCACATATTCCCTGTCAGGGTGGCTTTCCAAAGTGATACGGCATCGTCAGCACAGGCAGGAGAGACTCTCCCACGGTGGGTTTGCATCCCTCTAATCCTCCATCCAGGTGTGGTGGCCTCTGGAGTGGTCACTGGTTGGGCGGTCACCCCCTGATCTACATGCTGGTTGTACAGGTCACCGACACACCGTCTTCTCCCCGACTTCGCCCCCGCTTGGCATTTTTGGTGGGCGGGCGTCCGTTCCAGGCGAGCGGTGCTCTCCCCTGATTTATCGTCTGTGCCCTGTTCCCACTGCCGGGGGTAATGCGTGGGTTTACGGGACAGGGTTTTGTCGGCCGTGACTTGGCCTCCCCTGGCATTCCCCCCGTCGACGCTGCCCAGCCGGTGGGTCAGGGTGTTGTTCAGCATGCCCTGCCGCTGCCGCCTGCCTGCTGGAGGCTGGCTCCAGCAGGACGCTGTGTACTGCCTAACACCCCTAATAACACTTTGCAGGAGTCACCTGGGGGCATTTCTGGTTAAGAAGTATTTAATTGGTTACAAAACCATGTAGTGGTGGGGGTTTGCATAATGTTGTTCATGGGGGAGCTGGCAGCAGTTTTCAAGGGGGGGGGAAGCAGGAATTACTGATGCAGGTTAAGGGGGGGGAAAGAAAAACATAGGGGTGAAGAGACCCAAGGGATCCCCATAATAGGGGAGGGGGTCCAGGGCTGCACCTTTTCTTGCTCCAGCCTCTGGGAATTCTGGTCCCACCTTGCAGAGGAGCTTCCCTGGCCCATTCACACTCTCCCAGCACCCTGGCACTGCTATGCCCATATTCAGGGTTTAAAACCCTTTTGAGGCATGCTGGGGCCCTGGACAGGGATCCCCAGTACTCCCCGTTGCAGCTGAGCACTGGGGGAGCTCAGCTGACACCCCAGGGCCTGCCCCCAGCCATACCTCTCCCTGCTTTATAACCCGCTGCTGCTCCCAGGTAGCTTTGAGCCAAGTGATAACTTGCGTCCTGCCTTGCCCTGGGCTGAGACACGGCTCAGCTGCTGATTTTAGTGCCCACGGTGTCCTCACAGGCATGATGGCACCAGCTGGCATTGCCCTGTCACCAACACCTGCTGCTCTGTGGCCCCCTCCCCTGCATGAGGAGTGGGTCCTATGGGGTCCGTGGGGTGGCTGCTGTGGGGAGCAGGTCCTGTGGGATCTGTGGGGTGGCTTCTGTGCCACTGTTGGCAGTGCCACGCACTGCTCTGGGCTCAGCTTTGCTGGCTGGTGCTGGTGGCCCAGGGAGCTGCACTGGGCTGAGCCCACGTCGCTGGGGGGACCATGTTCCTGCAGGGTGGCCTTTGGGTAACCCCCAACCCCATCTGAACAGGGCATCCAGCCCTTGGGAAGGGGAGGGATTGGCAGGAAGGGAATGGTGACAGAGACACTGGAGGGAAAGCACCAGGGGCGGGAGGGGACGGTGGCTGCAACCTGCCTCCCTCTGCCATCCCTATAAATAGGAGGGAGCAGGAGCAGGGTTGCACCTGTGGGACTCCAACTCTGCAGGAGAGGCAGGCGGGGAGGGACGGACGAACGGACAGAGCTGCTCCTTGCTGCTCTCGCCTCCCTTTGAGCTTGCCAGTGCTCTGCCTGTGTGGAGGCCCGAGGCATGGAGACGAGGGGATGGACACTTTCCACCTTTGTGGGATGCTGTGTGTGGATTCTGCAAGGTATGTCCTTTATTTTTTTGCTATCACATGTGCTACCTGAGCCCCTGCAGGGCACAGCAAGTATGCTTATGGGATGCTTTTCTCTCCTGGCTTCACTGGAAACTCCTCTTATGACCAGTCTTTGCAATACATTGCAACCAAAGAGTTAGAAAAGTGTTTTATGGGGCAGTCATCACCCTGAGGGGCTGGTTGCAGGCGTGGACCCACAGGAGAGGTGACACCCCAGCCCAGGAGCCTGCATGCAGCCATGTAGCCCTCCAGCAAGGGAGCCCAGGGAAGCCAGCTGGCCCAACAGGATCCAGGGATGCTCCCATCCCTCCCGTGTCCCGGGGCTCCAGTGCTCCACTCTGGGGCCCCTCTTGCACAAGCTTCCCATGAATGGACAGTGTGGGGTAGATGGTGTTTCCTGCTCTGCTTGGAAGAATTAAGACAAAACTCCACTGGGGTGGAGCATGACAAATTAACCTGGGGGGACCTGACTGATGCGTTTTGTTTTCCCTGAGTTGGGGAGGGAAGTGACTGAGCTCCTCTGTCTGAGGGGGGTTAATGCGAAGAGCTTATTCCAGCTGGACAGTATGGTGAGGAAGCAGCCTGCTGGGAGGGGGAATGGGGGACTGAAGGAGAATGGACCCCTCGAGGACTGGTCTGGCATGGGAGATAATGTTCATTAATGACTCTGGCACAAGCTATCTGCAAGCTAAGGAGCTGAGCCTGCGGTGAGGTTGGAGGCACCTCCGCTGCAGGAAGGGGAGATTTGGCTGCCTGGCAGGGGGAACCTGATGAACTGGGAGCGCCAGGATGGGGAACAGGCTCGGGCTG